GCCGTTTCCTCCCGCCCCCCTCCCGCCCCGTTGATTGGTGCCGTATCTCGACTATTTTTGGGCCCGCTGTCTCCTCGTTTGATAGCTTGTTGTCNGAAGCTCCGCTTGTCGGGCGTGGAGCCGTGTCTGGCTTCGAACATCTTCAGGTCGTCCTTCAGGCATATCAGCCAGTTCTGCTCCGGGCTTCCCCGGCCCGGGTTCTCCCCTCCCACCAACTCGCCGAACATCAGCCGTTTCGGAAGCCGCCCGTCTGGCTGTCTTGCCACGGCCCCCGCAAAGAGCAGGCGCCGTTGACGGACAGTGGCCTCCACGCTCTGGCAGCCGACCCTCTTGAGCGCCTGGGCGTATGACAGCTGCCGGTAGGTGCCTCGTTTGCGCCGGTAGCAGTAGAGCACTTTGAAGCAACGTGACATACATTCATACATCTCGAACTGCTGACATGCGTAAGGTAAATCAATCATCGGTGACGGAAGGCTGAAAAGCGCAGTGAGTGGATCATTCGTGACGGAGCAAATACACACCACGACTACTGTTGTACGACTGACTGCTGCACATGGTACAAGTACCTATCCTAATAGAGTAGATGATATAATCAGCAGCTGCCGAAGTCTCAGGGCGTTGTTACCTCGTCAACCCCTTACCTTTTGTTATAGAAGGATTTGCTGCTGTGCTGCAGCAACAAGTCCATCCATTAGCCAGGACTAGCAGCAGCACAGAGCCTGGCCATTATAGGCTACGCGGTCGACGCGGGAAGCAAGCCGTGTTCTGTGCAGGCGATGGGGAAGAGAGTTGCGCTCGAATGCTCCGGCTGTGCGACTGCCCGACCGATGTGCCCATCGCACCAGACATGGCCTCTCAATCCTTCGCCTTTCTCCCCCCCTTGCTTGTGCCACACTCTATTGGGCTCATTGAGCCAGCATCTCTGCCGACTAGTCGAGGAGAAGAGCATCCTCAGGGGGGATAACAACACAGCAGTAGAATTATACCAAGGGATGCGGCGCTACCTTTTGGCGTGCGCGCGCGATGCAAAGCAAATGCAAAGCAAGTGCAGGGCACTGATTGGCCAATGCAAAGCAAAAAGGATTTGGATGACCTTATATTTTGACGATGCAAAGCACAACGAAGCTCTCTGATTGGTCGTGCAAAGCAGATCTGGCCCGCTACATAGAACCGCAGGAGGGGGTCCAACCCCCCTTTCCTATGTGATCCCAGTTGGGTCGTCTAGCTGGTAGAAGTGGAGGATAGGGGCCAGAGGGGCAGACCATAGAGTCCAATGATGAGATACCAAAAAAAAATCTCTGCTCTGCGATTGCGGCACATCCCTCTTTGGGGGTAGGGAGGGCATGACATTGCGTAGCCCCTGACCGAAACCCGCTGCTTGTTGCGCAGCAGCAGAGGCGATGTGGTGTCGCAAGCACCGGTGGGAGAGGTGTGTGTTCTGTAGCACGGGGCCGGCGGGAGGCTTGATAAACGGCGAGGGCTCCCATGGGCTTCTTCGACCAAGCTAACACGACGCTGGAGACGGTATGGTTCGCCGTGCTGGCTGCCGTTTCGCTGCTCTGCTTCCCGTTTGGAATCTGGATGGGCCGCCGATTTACTATCCTCGCTGCGAAGCTCGTGGTGAGAGGCCACATTTCAAGGGACAGCTTGTTAGTGCACTGTGCGTGCCACCCATTTCAAAGCATGGCGTGAGATGGGGGGATACGTTGCACTTTTTATCTATAGTTGTTTTCAGTAGCGGCAGACATATCCAGTTCGTACATCAGCGGCAGCAAAATGTAGTCAGTTCACTGAACACTCGACTGTTTGCCGACAAGGATTATCGGCATGCACTTCTACACGCTCTGAAGTGGCTACGGTGCATCAACCACACTGCGCTTCGTGGCATCAATTTGGCTTCCCCCCCGTGGTGTTTGCACCAGGTATTCTCGGAGCCGGGCGGTAAGCAAAACAAAAGTTCAATCATGCCTGTCGACTGCTGTCGACTGACTGTCGACAGGCAACGTGGCTTTTGGTGTTTTCGCCGAAAAGCGTCGTGTGTGCCGGTTGAGTGTTTTCGGCCGTTAGACTAAAATAATTAGTGCGATCGATCTGTCTTGCTGCCTGGAAAAGTCCGTGCATGTGCTTGATATAGTGCTTTTCGACACACGCCTCCCGCATAAGATGTGTGTTTCTTCGCCCTGCAGGGCTTGCGTATGGGCG